AAATAAAAACTGAAAAGAGAAGTGAGGTTGTCCCCATCTTCTCAGGAACATTTAAAGCTTACGGTACGTGGGTCTTCAAAGTATGAAACGTGCATAAAAAACGAGGAAGAAATGATTACACAAAATCATCAAAAAAACCTCTTCGCGTGTAAATTAAGGTCGTCATTTGGAGGTCTACCTCAACCAAGCCTTAGCTCAATCCCTGCTCAAGCCCACTTTGATTAGGGACTGGGGGGCAACTGATGATACCAGCAAAGAATCCTAAGTCTGAGCTCGGGAGCTAAGGTCTGGAAGGGAGTTCAGCTCATAGAGTTTGAGCTCAGAGATCCAAACCTGGGATTCCCTCCACCTGCATTCTGAAGTTAATAAGTGGGGGATAGCTGGCATACACGAGGCATCCTCCCAACGGTAACAAGCTCTAGTCTAGGTGCAAAATCCTCAAACAACCACAATTGTTGCCTAAAATCAAGCATGACACCACGAGTGGAAGACGAAGATCTCGCCATAGATCCCAAATAATTAGAAATTAGGCTATAAATACTGTACAGTGCCTCCAATATAGGTAGACCATTTAGATTGTATCAAAAACATTGTGTAACCATTAATACAGATCCTAGGAGCAAGAGACTCCATTGAAGAGTGGATTAGCCAAGCTCCCGACCCGTGAACCACTATAATTTTTCTGTGTGAGTCATCACCAACCCCCTATTCAACGTCCTACATTCTACGAGCCAAGTAGCTCAAATTCAACCTCATTTTATTTGCAAATTATCAATTTGCTCATTTACTGCTTGATACACCATCATCATCCAAATTGCATTTTTCTTGGTTTCTTCACCCTCCAATCCTTCCTTTATGCTATCTGTTCATCTTCATTGACTTCAAACACTTCAATGGGGGCTTAACTCAAACCATTTACATCTTTTTACCAGCATTTACACAAAACTCCAATAAAGAGAAGATTAAACGTATTTATTCCCAAATTCCCTACAAAAGCAAGTATAAAAGGGCATAACAACATACAATATATGCAATGTTTTGTGCTAATCAATACATGTATGAAATTTTATTAAAAATTCACACAAGGTATGGTTTCTCAATTTTGGAATAGGCGAAGTTTTCAAATATGTTTCTAAATTATTTAATACATTATTTATGATTGTTTAACTTGTTTTAAAATATATAATTGGATGGTTGAATTTTGACTTTAGATTTTGATCTGGATTAGGGTTTTGAGTGTGGTTCGAACAAATGCTTGAAAAGATCTTATTATTCATATTGAAACAAAACACCAGGTTCCTTTTCACATAGGTTCGAGTGGCAGAGGGTTTACGTTACAGGTTGAGACCGTGGAGGGTTTCTTTGTGTTTGTAAATGTCTTGGTGGCCTAGTTGATCTTCGAACTTGGGTTCTGAATTGTGACTAGGGAGCATATGTTCGTATGGACCCTGTGTGGTCTAGGATGATGGTCCACATGTATAACACTACACATAATGTTTCTAAACGCTATTTACTTTACTTGTTTACTTAAAATGTTATTGTTTCACATGACATGATTTTGTTTCTCATATATACGTATCAAAATGCTCATTTTGCTTTTGTTCAATTATGTTAAGCTATGTATTTTGAAACTCACATGCTTGAAATTAAGTTATTCTACTGAGTTGTTAATGCTTACCCTATGTTGTTTCCCCTTTTTTAGATTCGTTGAAGGCAGAAAAGTCTGTAAATAATTTAACTGCTAATTATCTTGTATAGCTTAGGAGTGAGTGTATATGAGGCATGTAAATGGAATAAGTATAAATCTAATGTGATTGGCATGTATCTATGTGCTTAATGAAGTAATATGTTAGTTATGTTGTATATACTATATGGGTTTAATTGAAAATGCTTTAGTTCATTTATGTGGGTTGGTCTACTACATTACATTGTATTACATTAACACTATTGAATGCTTCCCTGAGTCAAGGTAACATACGCTGCATGACTAGGTGATCTAGGGTGTGACAATTAGTTTTTAATCCAATTTAATTGGCCAACTATTATTACACTAATCATGCAATATTCTTGGTTAATCATTAGGATTATCCCATCCTTGTGTATTAATAGGCAAGCCATTGCCTTTGCCGTAGCTTTTGCAAACAAATACTCCATATGTCACCTCATTCTTCTTCCTTAAGAAATACATAGTCAAGGAACAAGAGCCTCCATTGAAGTGGACTACCCAGCTCTTCAGCTTGGCAAACCACTTAATCCCTTGTGCATTTCTCCTTATTCACCACACACTCCAAACACATCATATAGAGTTCATTCGCTCTTCTAAGCTCACATCTCTTCAATTTTTTACACCATTGAATGTTCTCCCCTTCAGTGAGGGCATGAGGAGGCATACAAGCCCTATAAAATGCTCTATTTCCATTGGCCATGGGCAACACTATTGCAAACCCATTGCCAACCACATTATAAAATTTCAACTCCGAGAAAGAGGGAGGTGGAATTCTTCCTTTGGTCCCTTTTAGGTTTGATAGCATGGTCTAGTGTTAGCATTAATTACACATGGGTAAGTCTAAGGTAACTTAAACATCCTACCATGCTGACATAATCCTAACTCTCAATAATTCACCTCAAAATAGAACCAGGAGAGAGACAATAGAAGGATTGATTTTTTTTTTTTTGAGTGTTGTCACCCAAAATATCAAAATTTTGCGAACGACACGTGACAAAGATCCAGTGGTCTAGGTAGAGTCAAAGAGAGTCCAGATACAAACAATACGGTTAAGAGAATAGAATTCCATGAATCCTAATAAACGAAGATATGTGACATAATGATCTGCCAATTAAGGTGGTTTAGTGCACATTTGAGTGTATCGAGAGGGGGGAAGAGGCTATGATTATAGTTATGACCGGAAAAAATGGCTTTGATGGTTGAAGGTCACCCCATATAAATACTAGAAGAGAGGCTATAGAGAAGGATCCCTCGATCAATAGACAACAATACACAGAGCCAGACTCTCCTCTACTTAGTTTATTTTGCAAGTTTCCTTTACTTTGTAAATTATCACTCCGCTGATTTCCCTTTCTAATTAATACAGAGTACAATAGTTCTCACAATTCCATTTGTCATTTACTTTTCTTGTCGTTAATCTCAGTTTCTTTCCCAAGTCTTACTTTGTAAAGTTGTTTGCCTGAAAATTATTTAAAACTTTAATTCCCAAAGCAGAGAAAAGAGTTTAGAAGTAAACTTACGTTTCGCTATAATTGTCTGAACAGTCACGATTTTAAAATTTTGCACCAGTTTGTATAATTAAGGTCATACTTATTTAAATTTTAAGTATAATCAAACTTTAGTATGCTTGCAATCTAAAAATAAGCCAAATAGAAGATAGAGAGAAACAGAGTCCAAAAGCTAATTGCCTCCATATAGAGGGCCACGGCTGGGCTAGTAGGACAACGGCAAAGCCAAAATGCCAAAGCTGTCGAAACGCTCAGAAAGTAAGAGCACACAGTGCATGACAAGCGCAATTAATTTTACTTTTTTCACAAAATTATTAAGCAAAATAGAAGAAAAAATATCTAAAACTTTCAGAAACAGATAAAAAAATGAAAATTGGAGATGATATATGCACAGATAGAGATATTAAATCAAAACCCGGTAGAGAGGGAGAGCTACATAAAGCGTTCGATTCTGCAAGAATCTTTTTTTCTTTTTCGCTTTTTTTTTTTCTTTTTTTCAGTCGGTCCAACTATGGCTTCAATTAAAGCTTCAAAAGAATAAAGATAATAGCAAAAAATAAAGTGTAGTGAGGAGACGGACACGGAGATTGTCGGCATGTGAAGTCATATGACGTTAAATACGTAGCTCCAGAGTTTGGCGTTCCGTTTCTTAAACCCGTGTCACTAAATTGTCTTGTTCTCTGCATCGTAACTGACCCTGTTGAATGAGAGTCCACAATCCCAAAAAAATTCAGGGTCTGGTCTTTGTTCAGAGAAGTACAGAGTAGCTTTTCTCATATAGAAAGAAAGAAGAAAACCAAGGAAATGCATGCAAAGAATTCTTGGAACCAAGCTACAAAAGATTGTTGTGGTCTGATTCTGCTTTGTGGGTCTTTTTTCCCTTTCATTTTGAGTAGTATTTGGAGGATGAGTGTAGCTGAATTTGCTTAATGTTAATTGGGTTTAGTCACTTCACATGGTTGGTGATATTTGTTGATTATTATGGCAGGTAACTTCAATTGAAAGTAATTGTTTTCACCAAGTTAGTTTTCACCAAGTTAGTTGATTTTTGGTGATTTTTCTAAATGCAATTAACCAGATTTCTGGGTTTGCTTCGGTATCTTCTACTCTCCCAAAACAATTAAATTCGACCAGTTTCATCCAACTGAAGAGCTAAATATCGAAGCCAGAGTTTGATTTTATTCTGCATTCAGGAGAGGTGAATCTTCTCATAAATATTGACTTGTGGTTCCTATTTATTCTGATCTTTGTTGGGTTCTTTCATAAATTCTTAGATAAAAAAAAAAAAAAAAGAATGCAGTAACAATATAAGTGAAATATAAAATGCATAATAACTGCAATACACCTGTTTATCTGGCATTTCAGATAATGCATATCTATTTCCGTGAAAGATTATAGATCTAAAACTTGTAAAATGACTAAAAGATTCCTGTCTAATTTCATTTGTTTTGATTCATATCCTTTCGTTATTTTATTTTATTTTTAGAAACGTTTCGGGTAAATACGCTATTAACATTATGAGATTTCATCTATCCATCCGCCAAAGTTAAATATTTGATACAATTTCTTTTGCAGTCACTATGGTATGAATGCAGACAATAATTATGTGGTCTTGGGAGCATGAGAGCACCAAACGTCCAATAAAAATATAATACTCCCTCGAAGATATTTTCAGTTCTATTTGTTGATGATACATGGATCAATCTTTCAAGCTCTTCGGCAGGTTGTAAGTTTGCTCCCATTGCAAGTTCCGCAGGTTTGGGATGATGGCAAAAGGTTTGGGCCATTCAGCAATTTTAGCTCTGGTTGTTTTTTCAATTTCAATTTGCTATTCGGAGCAACTACAATCGTCTCATGCACAAATCCTTTTGAGAATTCAACGCATTTTGAACTTCCCTACTGTTTTGAGTAGCTGGAATAGTGAAACTGGTTTCTGTAATACTGAACCAACTTTATCTCTTACTGTTGTGTGCTACGAAGAAAGCATAACCCAGCTCCATATTATTGGGAAGCGAGGCACTCCTTCCTTACCTAAGAATTTTTCTATAGATTCATTTACTACGACACTCGTTAAACTTCCTAGCTTGAAAGTCCTTACATTGGTTTCTATTGGTTTATGGGGACCATTGCCCGGCAAATTGGCCCGCTTATCGTCACTGGAAATACTCAACATAAGTTCAAATTTCTTTCTTGGCTCCATTCCACGGGAAATTTCGTCTTTAACAAACCTCCAGACATTAATACTTGATGACAACATGTTCTCTGGTCAACTTCCAGATGGGCTGAGTTCACTTCCAGCTTTGGCTGCTTTGAGTATGAAGAAGAATTCATTAAATGGGTCTCTGCCGGATTCACTGGGAAGTTTTACAAACCTCAGAGTTCTTGTGCTTTCGCATAACCATTTTTCTGGTGAAGTGCCTGACCTGAGCAGTTTAGCAAACCTCCAAGTTCTTGATTTGGAAGATAATTCTCTTGGACCTCAGTTTCCTCTAGTTGGTAGAAAAGTAGTCACGCTTGTACTGAGGAAGAACAAATTTAGGTCTGGCATCCCAGACAGAGTGGGCTCTTATTATCAGCTTGAACAGCTTGACATATCATTCAACAGATTTGTGGGACCATTTCCACCATTTCTGTTCTCCATGCCATCAATTACTTATTTGAACATCGAGGGAAATAGATTTACTGGAATGCTTTTCGAAAATTTTCCTTGTGGAGCTTACCTTGAGTTTGCGGATTTGTCTGCTAATCTGTTGACTGGAGCATTGCCGAGCTGTCTTCGGTCTGATTCCAAGAGCAGGGTTGTGCTTTTTTCTGGGAATTGTTTAGCTACTGGGGACAAAAGTCAGCACCCAATTTCCTTTTGCCATAATGAAGCTTTGGCCGTGGGAATCTTGCCTCACCGCCGGAAGCCCAAAGAAGTTTCCAAAGCATTTCATGACTTGAGCATAATTGGAGGGATAATTGGAGGGATAATTGGAGGAATTGTACTAGTTGGTCTAACCTTCATGGTGGTTAGAACAAGTCGTGCAAAGAAGATGGTCAAAACACCTCCAACTAGATCAATATCAGAGAATGCAGCAACTGGATACACCTCTAAGTTGCTTTCAGATGCAAGTGAGGACTCTCTCTCTCTCTCTCTCTCTCTCTCTCTCTCTGTATGGTGTGCATCGTGCATGAATATGGTGGATTTTTCTAGCTTTACTCACCCAAATGCAAAAAAATTTGTGCTTTGATTGAAATTCTTGCCCAGATACTTCCCAAATTGATTGCCCATATGCAATTCAGAGGCCACTGAATCAAGTTTTTTCCTAAAAGAGGAGAAATTTCCTCTGCTTAATCGATACTGCCAGAAGATTGTTAAAAGTGAAAATAGGCTTATCTTTATTCACAAAGGAAGTTGCCCTATATTCTTTCTTTTCTTTTCTTTTCTTTTCTCTTTCTATTTTTCAGTTTAGTAATGAACTGCAGCTTGCATGCCAAGGGAAATAGTTGTGTTCAAATTCAATTAGTTGAAATATATGGATTAACCAAAAAAAATGATAGTGGATCTCTACTTAAGAAAAATAGAGGGGAGGGGCAAGGGGCACAGAGTGTTTGATTTGTTCCAGATTCTCAACATGTAGATAATATAATGTGATCTGTGGGTATTATTTAGATCATCCTGAATGAAAAGCCGTATAGGTTAAAGAATAAAATGGAATACAATAGCAGGATTCATGTGCAAGTAAGAACAATGTTCTGGCCGCAGCTTTCATAGTTCTTGAAACCTCTTCTGTGCACAATTTAATACTTTGATTTCTTTTCCCACCAAAGGGTATGTAACTCAGGCTATGAAGCTAGGAGCACTAGGCCTTCCAGGTTACCGACCTTTTTCACTTGAAGAACTAGAGGAGGCAACAAATAACTTCGATACATCATATTTTATGGGTGAAGGCTCTCATGGTCAGGTATGAAAATTTATTTGTACATAGCTCTGAATCGAAGAGCTTGTTGAAACAGTGTATGTTACTCTCATTTGATTTACTGGCATCTATTTTTGTGTTTTTTTTTTTTTTTAATTATTTTGTAGTTGCAGTGAGTCTAAGATTAGATAACCCAAATAAAACTTCCTTAACTAGCTGCAAGAGTATCTTCATGTTATAAGTCACAAGAACAAACTTATTGTGTAAATAGTTGTTATTGAGGTATATATAATTCCATGTAGTTCCTTCTTCATGGCCTTTCTAACTGATTGAAAGGGCTATTTTGATCTTTTTTTTCCACGTGTGGGTGTATGTGTGCATAGGAGTGTGCATATGGGTGTAACTACATCTTGTATCATTTCATCACAAAATGATGCAACAGACTTAATTATGTTGCTTTTGCAAACCTTAGTATCATTTAATTGACTTCGCAAAATTCAACATCAAACATCCCTCAGATGAATTATGTGAACAGGTGTTGACAATATGTTTCTTTTATGAATCCAGATGTACAGAGGCCAGCTGAAGGATGGTTCTTTTATTGCTATTCGATGCCTGAAAATGAAACGAAACCACAGCACTCAAAGCTTTATGCACCACATAGAATTGATTTCAAAACTCAGACATCACCATTTGGTCAGCGCTCTTGGGCACTGCTTGGAATGCTACTTGGATGACTCAAGTGTCAGCAGAATATTTCTTGTCTTTGAATACGTACCAAATGGGACACTAAGGAACTGGGTATCTGGTAATCCAATGAATATGACGAGCTTTATTTGCATCAGTTACTCTCTAAAGATGGTCAGCTCAGAAGGGACATCACTTGCCCTCTGAGAATGATTGCATCTACTTTTCAAATGTCTTCTGCAGNACGAGCTTTATTTGCATCAGTTACTCTCTAAAGATGGTCAGCTCAGAAAGGACATCACTTGCCCTCTGAGAATGATTGCATCTACTTTTCAAATGTCTTCTGCAGAAAACCCGCTTTGTTTAAACGTGTGTGCACAATCATCTATTAGTGTTCATCGTCTATTCTACTGACCAAATGAGAATGCAAATGTGACTAGTTGTGGAGCATAAAATTTTTTTTTTTTTCCAATTTTTGTGAGAGTTAACCTTCTCCAATCAGATGTTGATCATGGAACTTCAACTACCCTTCATGTGTAGTGTGTCATTGAAACACAAAAGCATGGCTTTATTTCCTCCATTTTGATTTTATAGATTGCTTTACGTGGTTTTGTAGTTATTGTTTTTCAGTTTCTTACAATCTTATTTATCAGTGGGACATGATAGACGAACACTAACTTGGACGCAGCGCATAGCAGCTGCCATAGGGGTTGCAAAGGGTATCCAATTCCTTCATACAGGAATTGTGCCAGGTGTCTTTTCAAATAACTTAAAAATAACAGAGGTTTTATTGGACCAGAACCTTGTTGCAAAACTCAGCAGTTACAACCTGCCTTTGTTAGCAGAGGATATGGGAAAGGTATGAAGAAAAGAATTCATCTACTCATAATTCTGGAAGGAAATACCTTGAGTTGATATTTGGAACTGCTTCATATGGCAGGTTGGTATTCAACGTTCTCCTGGAGCCAAGGAGCTTAGTAATGCAAGGTTTGTTATAAAATTTGCTAGTTCAATGCATTGCTATGATTTCAATTCAAAATTATTACAGAAAGCTCTTGATATACAGAGGTTAGTNTATTCAACGTTCTCCTGGAGCCAAGGAGCTTAGTAATGCAAGGTTTGTTATAAAATTTGCTAGTTCAATGCATATGCTATGATTTCAATTCAAAATTATTACAGAAAGCTCTTGATATACAGAGGTTAGTGGTATCTCATAGACAATAAATGCTCAGAATGACACGACACATGCAAGGTTTGATGTACTTAATTCCATGTCCAGAACATATGCATATTTCGTTCTTTTGTCTTACCCAAACAATTTCCATCCACTTGAAAAAAGGGAAAATCATATTGCTCTATCAATCTACCTTTTAGTTGTCCTCTCTAATATAAGGGTCATTGATATGAAGGTAAAATTTTATATTGTTCCAACTAGTCAACAGGTATGCTGAATTTTGTGACTTCTCAACCTAAATCTGCGTCACAGGATCAAACATCAGGACAAGTTTGACATCTACGATTTTGGGGTGATATTACTTGAAATCATTGTGGGAAGGCCATTCAATTCCATGAATGAAGCAGGGGCTGTGAAAAAACAAGTATGGATGGCTCTTTCCTTGCCAACTTTTCTTTTTCTTTGTATTATTTCCCCACTTTCTTTCTTTGGAAAAAGTTTACAATGATGTATTCTATTGCAATCATTATCCTCAAGGTCTCCTCCTATTTGTAAATACATAGCAGAATCATTGATTAATCATTGATTTTTGTCTCCATAGCATCCTGGAAAGGTTAGATATTCATCTAGTTCAATTGTTCTTGTGGTTTGAAGCATGAACATATGCTTTCTTTTATTCTGGGAGATCCTTCAAAATAACTAGCTTTTTATTTCTGTTTGCTGTCTCTGTAATTTTTTCCCTTTATACCACTTAGTGGGCATTATATATGCATTCTGAAGTAGGGAACTTAGAATTTGGTGTTCGCTGGCCGTTGGTTGGTAACCATTACAAGACTAAGTGTTAGCAATTAACAAGTATACACTGGAAAGAAAGGCTTTTGTTTTTGGGTGAGTGGCTTTCTGTAAATTACAATAATATAACCACGCAAACCGATTGATAATTAGATAGCCAATCAACATAGAGAAGATGTTTTATTTTTAGCAAATCAAAATTTCCATAGTAATTTTTATTACATAAACACCTGAACTCAAGGTGTATGTTATCATGTATGTTTTTCTCCTCCTGTGGCTGTATTTGTTAGTATGTAACTGCAAGCTGGGATCTGTTGATGCTACCTAAATTTTTATTTTGTTTTTACTGGTTATCACCATACAATTTAAGATTTTCTGTTTGGAGGATAAACTAGTGATGGCCTAAAATCGCAGGATTGCATCACAATAATAACTGTGGGCTGTATCTTTTGACACTGCAGTTACAAGCAAGCATAACAGCTGATTCTGCTGCTCGAAAGAGCTTTGTTGATCCAGCAGTTCTCAATGCATACTCGGATGAATCATTGAAGATAACAATGGAAATCTGCAGTAGGTGTTTGGTTAAGGATCCAGCAGATAGACCATCCATTGAGGATGTGCTGTGGAACTTACAGTTTGCTGCTCAGATTCAGGACGCATGGAGGGGAGACTCCCAAAGCAGTGACGGGTCACCAATCTCGCCTTTCCAGCCTCCACGCCTACAGCTCACAGTTCAACAGAATCAGCATTCAGGTTCTAATTCTCCTTTTTCAAGAACCAGTTCCAGATCTTGAATTTTTCCTTCTTCCCAAATCATTAATCTTTCATTTCATTTGTAAATTTGTGGTTCTAGCAATGACATGTCTTAATGGCATATATTTTATTTGTCTATAAGCGTTGATCTATACACTTGGGTAGAGCATTGCGAAATTCTTCATCCTACGACCTTNATCTGCCAATTAAGGTGGTTTAGTGCACATTTGAGTGTATCGAGAAGGGGGAAGAGGCTATGATTATAGTTATGACCGGAAAAAATGGCTTTGATGGTTGAAGGTCACCCCATATAAATACTAGAAGAGAGGCTATAGAGAAGGATCCCTCGATCAATAGACAACAATACACAGAGCCAGACTCTCCTCTACTTAGTTTATTTTGCAAGTTTCCTTTACTTTGTAAATTATCACTCCGCTGATTTCCCTTTCTAATTAATACAGAGTACAATAGTTCTCACAATTCCATTTGTCATTTACTTTTCTTGTCGTTAATCTCAGTTTCTTTCCCAAGTCTTACTTTGTAAAGTTGTTTGCCTGAAAATTATTTAAAACTTTAATTCCCAAAGCAGAGAAAAGAGTTTAGAAGTAAACTTACGTTTCGCTATAATTGTCTGAACAGTCACGATTTTAAAATTTTGCACCAGTTTGTATAATTAAGGTCATACTTATTTAAATTTTAAGTATAATCAAACTTTAGTATGCTTGCAATCTAAAAATAAGCCAAATAGAAGATAGAGAGAAACAGAGTCCAAAAGCTAATTGCCTCCATATAGAGGGCCACGGCTGGGCTAGTAGGACAACGGCAAAGCCAAAATGCCAAAGCTGTCGAAACGCTCAGAAAGTAAGAGCACACAGTGCATGACAAGCGCAATTAATTTTACTTTTTTCACAAAATTATTAAGCAAAATAGAAGAAAAAATATCTAAAACTTTCAGAAACAGATAAAAAAATGAAAATTGGAGATGATATATGCACAGATAGAGATATTAAATCAAAACCCGGTAGAGAGGGAGAGCTACATAAAGCGTTCGATTCTGCAAGAATCTTTTTTTCTTTTTCGCTTTTTTTTTTTCTTTTTTTCAGTCGGTCCAACTATGGCTTCAATTAAAGCTTCAAAAGAATAAAGATAATAGCAAAAAATAAAGTGTAGTGAGGAGACGGACACGGAGATTGTCGGCATGTGAAGTCATATGACGTTAAATACGTAGCTCCAGAGTTTGGCGTTCCGTTTCTTAAACCCGTGTCACTAAATTGTCTTGTTCTCTGCATCGTAACTGACCCTGTTGAATGAGAGTCCACAATCCCAAAAAAATTCAGGGTCTGGTCTTTGTTCAGAGAAGTACAGAGTAGCTTTTCTCATATAGAAAGAAAGAAGAAAACCAAGGAAATGCATGCAAAGAATTCTTGGAACCAAGCTACAAAAGATTGTTGTGGTCTGATTCTGCTTTGTGGGTCTTTTTTCCCTTTCATTTTGAGTAGTATTTGGAGGATGAGTGTAGCTGAATTTGCTTAATGTTAATTGGGTTTAGTCACTTCACATGGTTGGTGATATTTGTTGATTATTATGGCAGGTAACTTCAATTGAAAGTAATTGTTTTCACCAAGTTAGTTTTCACCAAGTTAGTTGATTTTTGGTGATTTTTCTAAATGCAATTAACCAGATTTCTGGGTTTGCTTCGGTATCTTCTACTCTCCCAAAACAATTAAATTCGACCAGTTTCATCCAACTGAAGAGCTAAATATCGAAGCCAGAGTTTGATTTTATTCTGCATTCAGGAGAGGTGAATCTTCTCATAAATATTGACTTGTGGTTCCTATTTATTCTGATCTTTGTTGGGTTCTTTCATAAATTCTTAGATAGAAAAAAAAAAGAAAGAATGCAGTAACAATATAAGTGAAATATAAAATGCATAATAACTGCAATACACCTGTTTATCTGGCATTTCAGATAATGCATATCTATTTCCGTGAAAGATTATAGATCTAAAACTTGTAAAATGACTAAAAGATTCCTGTCTAATTTCATTTGTTTTGATTCATATCCTTTCGTTATTTTATTTTATTTTTAGAAACGTTTCGGGTAAATACGCTATTAACATTATGAGATTTCATCTATCCATCCGCCAAAGTTAAATATTTGATACAATTTCTTTTGCAGTCACTATGGTATGAATGCAGACAATAATTATGTGGTCTTGGGAGCATGAGAGCACCAAACGTCCAATAAAAATATAATACTCCCTCGAAGATATTTTCAGTTCTATTTGTTGATGATACATGGATCAATCTTTCAAGCTCTTCGGCAGGTTGTAAGTTTGCTCCCATTGCAAGTTCCGCAGGTTTGGGATGATGGCAAAAGGTTTGGGCCATTCAGCAATTTTAGCTCTGGTTGTTTTTTCAATTTCAATTTGCTATTCGGAGCAACTACAATCGTCTCATGCACAAATCCTTTTGAGAATTCAACGCATTTTGAACTTCCCTACTGTTTTGAGTAGCTGGAATAGTGAAACTGGTTTCTGTAATACTGAACCAACTTTATCTCTTACTGTTGTGTGCTACGAAGAAAGCATAACCCAGCTCCATATTATTGGGAAGCGAGGCACTCCTTCCTTACCTAAGAATTTTTCTATAGATTCATTTACTACGACACTCGTTAAACTTCCTAGCTTGAAAGTCCTTACATTGGTTTCTATTGGTTTATGGGGACCATTGCCCGGCAAATTGGCCCGCTTATCGTCACTGGAAATACTCAACATAAGTTCAAATTTCTTTCTTGGCTCCATTCCACGGGAAATTTCGTCTTTAACAAACCTCCAGACATTAATACTTGATGACAACATGTTCTCTGGTCAACTTCCAGATGGGCTGAGTTCACTTCCAGCTTTGGCTGCTTTGAGTATGAAGAAGAATTCATTAAATGGGTCTCTGCCGGATTCACTGGGAAGTTTTACAAACCTCAGAGTTCTTGTGCTTTCGCATAACCATTTTTCTGGTGAAGTGCCTGACCTGAGCAGTTTAGCAAACCTCCAAGTTCTTGATTTGGAAGATAATTCTCTTGGACCTCAGTTTCCTCTAGTTGGTAGAAAAGTAGTCACGCTTGTACTGAGGAAGAACAAATTTAGGTCTGGCATCCCAGACAGAGTGGGCTCTTATTATCAGCTTGAACAGCTTGACATATCATTCAACAGATTTGTGGGACCATTTCCACCATTTCTGTTCTCCATGCCATCAATTACTTATTTGAACATCGAGGGAAATAGATTTACTGGAATGCTTTTCGAAAATTTTCCTTGTGGAGCTTACCTTGAGTTTGCGGATTTGTCTGCTAATCTGTTGACTGGAGCATTGCCGAGCTGTCTTCGGTCTGATTCCAAGAGCAGGGTTGTGCTTTTTTCTGGGAATTGTTTAGCTACTGGGGACAAAAGTCAGCACCCAATTTCCTTTTGCCATAATGAAGCTTTGGCCGTGGGAATCTTGCCTCACCGCCGGAAGCCCAAAGAAGTTTCCAAAGCATTTCATGACTTGAGCATAATTGGAGGGATAATTGGAGGGATAATTGGAGGAATTGTACTAGTTGGTCTAACCTTCATGGTGGTTAGAACAAGTCGTGCAAAGAAGATGGTCAAAACACCTCCAACTAGATCAATATCAGAGAATGCAGCAACTGGATACACCTCTAAGTTGCTTTCAGATGCAAGTGAGGATTCTCTCTCTCTCTCTCTCTCTCTCTCTCTCTCTCTCTCTCTCTCTCTCTGTGTATGGTGTGCATCGTGCATGAATATGGTGGATTTTTCTAGCTTTACTCACCCAAATGCAAAAAAATTTGTGCTTTGATTGAAATTCTTGCCCAGATACTTCCCAAATTGATTGCCCATATGCAATTCAGAGGCCACTGAATCAAGTTTTTTCCTAAAAGAGGAGAAATTTCCTCTGCTTAATCGATACTGCCAGAAGATTGTTAAAAGTGAAAATAGGCTTATCTTTATTCACAAAGGAAGTTGCCCTATATTCTTTCTTTTCTTTTCTTTTCTTTTCTCTTTCTTTTTTTCAGTTTAGTAATGAACTGCAGCTTGCATGCCAAGGGAAATAGTTGTGTTCAAATTCAATTAGTTGAAATATATGGATTAACCAAAAAAAATGATAGTGGATCTCTACTTAAGAAAAATAGAGGGGAGGGGCAAGGGGCACAGAGTGTTTGATTTGTTCCAGATTCTCAACATGTAGATAATATAATGTGATCTGTGGGTATTATTTAGATCATCCTGAATGAAAAGCCGTATAGGTTAAAGAATAAAATGGAATACAATAGCAGGATTCATGTGCAAGTAAGAACAATGTTCTGGCCGCAGCTTTCATAGTTCTTGAAACCTCTTCTGTGCACAATTTAATACTTTGATTTCTTTTCCCACCAAAGGGTATGTAACTCAGGCTATGAAGCTAGGAGCACTAGGCCTTCCAGGTTACCGACCTTTTTCACTTGAAGAACTAGAGGAGGCAACAAATAACTTCGATACATCATATTTTATGGGTGAAGGCTCTCATGGTCAGGTATGAAAATTTATTTGTACATAGCTCTGAATCGAAGAGCTTGTTGAAACAGTGTATGTTACTCTCATTTGATTTACTGGCATCTATTTTTGTGTTTTTTTTTTTTTTTAATTATTTTGTAGTTGCAGTGAGTCTAAGATTAGATAACCCAAATAAAACTTCCTTAACTAGCTGCAAGAGTATCTTCATGTTATAAGTCACAAGGACAAACTTATTGTGTAAATAGTTGTTATTGAGGTATATATAATTCCATGTAGTTCCTTCTTCATGGCCTTTCTAACTGATTGAAAGGGCTATTTTGATCTTTTTTTTCCACGTGTGGGTGTATGTGTGCATATGAGTGTGCATATGGGTGTAACTACATCTTGTATCATTTCATCACAAAATGATGCAACAGACTTAATTATGTTGCTTTTGCAAACCTTAGTATCATTTAATTGACTTCGCAAAATTCAACATCAAACATCCCTCAGATGAATTATGTGAACAGGTGTTGACAATATGTTTCTTTTATGAATCCAGATGTACAGAGGCCAGCTGAAGGATGGTTCTTTTATTGCTATTCGATGCCTGAAAATGAAACGAAACCACAGCACTCAAAGCTTTATGCACCACATAGAATTGATTTCAAAACTTAGACATCACCATTTGGTCAGCGCTCTTGGGCACTGCTTGGAATGCTACTTGGATGACTCAAGTGTCAGCAGAATATTTCTTGTCTTTGAATACGTACCAAATGGGACACTAAGGAACTGGGTATCTGGTAATCCAATGAATATGACGAGCTTTATTTGCATCAGTTACTCTCTAAAGATGGTCAGCTCAGAAAGGACATCACTTGCCCTCTGAGAATGATTGCATCTACTTTTCAAATGTCTTCTGCAGAAAACCCGCTTTGTTTAAACGTGTGTGCACAATCATCTATTAGTGTTCATCGTCTATTCTACTGACCAAATGAGAATGCAAATGTGACTAGTTGTGGAGCATAAAATTTTTTTTTTTTTCCAATTTTTGTGAGAGTTAACCTTCTCCAATCAGATGTTGATCATGGAACTTCAACTACCCTTCATGTGTAGTGTGTCATTGAAACACAAAAGCATGGCTTTATTTCCTCCATTTTGATTTTATAGATTGCTTTACGTGGTTTTGTAGTTATTGTTTTTCAGTTTCTTACAATCTTATTTATCAGTGGGACATGATAGACGAACACTAACTTGGACGCAGCGCATAGCAGCTGCCATAGGGGTTGCAAAGGGTATCCAATTCCTTCATACAGGAATTGTGCCAGGTGTCTTTTCAAATAACTTAAAAATAACAGAGGTTTTATTGGACCAGAACCTTGTTGCAAAACTCAGCAGTTACAACCTGCCTTTGTTAGCAGAGGATATGGGAAAGGTATGAAGAAAAGAATTCATCTACTCATAATTCTGGAAGGAAATACCTTGAGTTGATATTTGGAACTGCTTCATATGGCAGGTTGGTATTCAACGTTCTCCTGGAGCCAAGGAGCTTAGTAATGCAAGGTTTGTTATAAAATTTGCTAGTTCAATGCATATGCTATGATTTCAATTCAAAATTATTACAGAAAGCTCTTGATATACAGAGGTTAGTGGTATCTCATAGACAATAAATGCTCAGAATGACACGACACATGCAAGGTTTGATGTACTTAATTCCATGTCCAGAACATATGCATATTTCGTTCTTTTGTCTTACCCAAACAATTTCCATCCACTTGAAAAAAGGGAACATCATATTGCTCTATCAATCTACCTTTTAGTTGTCCTCTCTAATATAAGGGTCATTGATATGAAGGTAAAATTTTATATTGTTCCAACTAGTCAACAGGTATGCTGAATTTTGTGACTTCTCAACCTAAATCTGCGTCACAGGATCAAACATCAGGACAAGTTTGACATCTACGATTTTGGGGTGATATTACTTGAAATCATTGTGGGAAGGCCATTCAATTCCATGAATGAAGCAGGGGCTGTGAAAAAACAAGTATGGATGGCTCTTTCCTTGCCAACTTTTCTTTTTCTTTGTATTATTTCCCCTCTTTCTTTCTTTGGAAAAAGTTTACAATGATGTATTCTATTGCAATCATTATCCTCAAGGTCTCCTCCTATTTGTAAATACATAGCAGAATCATTGATTAATCATTGATTTTTGTCTCCATAGCATCCTGGAAAGGTTAGATATTCATCTAGTTCAATTGTTCTTGTGGTTTGAAGCATGAACATATGCTTTCTTTTATTCTGGGAGATCCTTCAAAATAACTAGCTTTTTATTTCTGTTTGCTGTCTCTGTAATTTTTTCCCTTTATACCACTTAGTGGGCATTATATATGCATTCTGAAGTAGGGAACTTAGAATTTGGTGTTCGCTGGCCGTTGGTTGGTAACCATTACAAGACTAAGTGTTAGCAATTAACAAGTATACACTGGAAAGAAAGGCTTTTGTTTTTGGGTGAGTGGCTTTCTGTAAATTACAATAATATAACCACGCAAACCGATTGATAATTAGATAGCCAATCAACATAGAGAAGATGTTTTATTTTTAGCAAATCAAAATTTCCATAGTAATTTTTATTACATAAACACCTGAACTCAAGGTGTATGTTATCATGTATGTTTTTCTCCTCCTGTGGCTGTATTTGTTAGTATGTAACTGCAAGCTGGGATCTGTTGATGCTACCTAAATTTTTATTTTGTTTTTACTGGTTATCACCATACAATTTAAGATTTTCTGTTTGGAGGATAAACTAGTGATGGCCTAAAATCGCAGGATTGCATCACAATAATAACTGTGGGCTGTATCTTTTGACACTGCAGTTACAAGCAAGCATAACAGCTGATTCTGCTGCTCGAAAGAGCTTTGTTGATCCAGCAGTTCTCAATGCATACTCGGATGAATCATTGAAGATAACAATGGAAATCTGCAGTAGGTGTTTGGTTAAGGATCCAGCAGATAGACCATCCATTGAGGATGTGCTGTGGAACTTACAGTTTGCTGCTCAGATTCAGGACGCATGGAGGGGAGACTCCCAAAGCAGTGACGGGTCACCAATCTCGCCTTTCCAGCCTCCACGCCTACAGCTCACAGTTCAACAGAATCAGCATTCAGGTTCTAATTCTCCTTTTTCAAGAACCAGTTCCAGATCTTGAATTTTTCCTTCTTCCCAAATCATTAATCTTTCATTTCATTTGTAAATTTGTGGTTCTAGCAATGACATGTCTTAATGGCATATATTTTATTTGTCTATAAGCGTTGATCTATACACTTGGGTAGAGCATTGCGAAATTCTTCATCCTACGACCTTTTGAATGAGATAGACTAGTAACCCCTTTCGAGTTTGACCATCACCATGGAAAGACAAGTCTCTTGTGAAATAACTATTAATTTCTTCTCCATTCCATTCAATTGAAACTTTCGTTTATCCAATAGCTGAAAACCGTTTATTACCTTCTCTTCTGCAGGTATATGAGGGTCTAAGACGAAGACAGAAACCACTTGTTAATCGATACAAAAAGCTATCGAACCCAAGTATTGAATTCTCTTGATGCAAACGAGACCATGAAACAATTGGCCTGAAATGTATACCCTACTCTTTTTTCTATTTGTTTTTCTCATTTCTTATATTAGAAAGCACCTTGCCAGGATGCTTGATTGGCAGCCATCTTTGTACTCTAAAGTGCAACTATGAAGGGATTGCAAGACATATAATTGCCGCTGCTTGCACGTTGCTTTACTTTTCTGCACCAAGTCTAAACGAAATTCCGGAAGCCACTTATTACGACATACTTTACCAAAAAAAAAAATGTAGTCTGGTTTAGATTATTAATGAATATTTATGTTGATTCAGATCAATTAATTTGTAGAATGGAGATTCATACAAATTAATAATGTGCAAAGAACCATATTTGAACTGGTAACAAGAGGATTTTCAGTCTTCTGCTTTACTAGTTTAGCTATCTCGTATGCAATATCCTCATTTTATTTCGATGACTTGGGTTTATGTCAATTGAAAAATATGAAAGCATATTACAATATGAATTTCTTAGATCTTCAATATGAATAATCATATCAACCATGAATCAATCAAATGGGAATTCTTTGTTCAAAGATGTCCATTTGGATCTGTATTATGTATATCACAAGACATTTGTGATAAAAGAAAACCATTTTTGCTCATATCCGTTTGTAATAGAATAGAGTGCATGAGAAAAATAACAAATTTTGGCCGCTAACGAAAAGGGATAGGATAAATAGTAAGGGTCAACTGAATTATTTGAGGATAGAGGGACTTGAACCCTCACGATTTTTAAAGTCTGGCCAATTTTCATCTTGCAAAAAATTTAATTGCTTTTCGTATTGACATGTAGAATAAAACTTTATCTTTATTCCTGTCCAATTAATTATGCCTCATTAAAACCAACCCACCACTCCCTTNACAAAAGCAAGTATAAAAGGGCATAACAACATACAATATATGCAATGTTTTGTGCTAATCAATACATGTATGAAATTTTATTAAAAATTCACACAAGGTATGGTTTCTCAATTTTGGAATAGGCGAAGTTTTCAAATATGTTTCTAAATTATTTAATACATTATTTATGATTGTTTAACTTGTTTTAAAATATATAATTGGATGGTTGAATTTTGACTTTAGATTTTGATCTGGATTAGGGTTTTGAGTGTGGTTCGAACAAATGCTTGAAAAGATCTTATTATTCATATTGAAACAAAACACCAGGTTCCTTTTCACATAGGTTCGAGTGGCAGAGGGTTTACGTTACAGGTTGAGACCGTGGAGGGTTTCTTTGTGTTTGTAAATGTCTTGGTGGCCTAGTTGATCTTCGAACTTGGGTTCTGAATTGTGACTAGGGAGCATATGTTCGTATGGACCCTGTGTGGTCTAGGATGATGGTCCACATGTATAACACTACACATAATGTTTCTAAACGCTATTTACTTTACTTGTTTACTTAAAATGTTATTGTTTCACATGACATGATTTTGTTTCTCATATATACGTATCAAAATGCTCATTTTGCTTTTGTTCAATTATGTTAAGCTATGTATTTTGAAACTCACATGCTTGAAATTAAGTTATTCTACTGAGTTGTTAATGCTTACCCTATGTTGTTTTCCCCCTTTTTAGATTCGTTGAAGGCAGAAAAGTCTGTAAATAATTTAACTGCCAATTATCTTGTATAGCTTAGGAGTGAGTGTGTATGAGGCATGTAAATGGAATAAGTATAAATCTAATGTGATTGGCATGTATCTATGTGCTTAATGAAGTAATATGTTAGTTATGTTGTATATACTATATGGGTTTAATTGAAAATGCTTTAGTTCATTTATGTGGGTTGGTCTACTACATTACATTGTATTACATTAACACTATTGAATGCTTCCCTGAGTCAAGGTAACATACGCTGCATGACTAGGTGATCTAGGGTGTGACAATTAGTTTTTAATCCAATTTAATTGGCCAACTATTATTACACTAATCATGCAATATTCTTGGTTAATCAATAGGATTATCCCATCCTTGTGTATTAATAGGCAAGCCATTGCCTTTGCCGTAGCTTTTGCAAACAAATACTCCATATGTCACCTCATTCTTCTTCCTTAAGAAATACATAGTCAAGGAACAAGAGCCTCCATTGAAGTGGACTACCCAGCTCTTCAGCTTGGCAAACCACTTAATCCCTTGTGCATTTCTCCTTATTCACCACACACTCCAAACACATCATATAGAGTTCATTCGCTCTTCTAAGCTCACATCTCTTCAATTTTTTACACCATTGAATGTTCTCCCCTTCAGTGAGGGCATGAGGAGGCATACAAGCCCTATAAAATGCTCTATTTCCATTGGCCATGGGCAACACTATTGCAAACCCATTGCCAACCACATTATAAAATTTCAACTCCGAGAAAGAGGGAGGTGGAATTCTTCCTTTGGTCCCTTTTAGGTTTGATAGCATGGTCTAGTGTTAGCATTAATTACACATGGGTAAGTCTAAGGTAACTTAAACATCCTNTGTGATTGGCATGTATCTATGTGCTTAATGAAGTAATATGTTAGTTATGTTGTATATACTATATGGGTTTAATTGAAAATGCTTTAGTTCATTTATGTGGGTTGGTCTACTACATTACATTGTATTACATTAACACTATTGAATGCTTCCCTGAGTCAAGGTAACATACGCTGCATGACTAGGTGATCTAGGGTGTGACAATTAGTTTTTAATCCAATTTAATTGGCCAACTATTATTACACTAATCATGCAATATTCTTGGTTAATCATTAGGATTATCCCATCCTTGTGTATTAATAGGCAAGCCATTGCCTTTGCCGTAGCTTTTGCAAACAAATACTCCATATGTCACCTCATTCTTCTTCCTTAAGAAATACATAGTCAAGGAACAAGAGCCTCCATTGAAGTGGACTACCCAGCTCTTCAGCTTGGCAAACCACTTAATCCCTTGTGCATTTCTCCTTATTCACCACACACTCCAAACACATCATATAGAGTTCATTCGCTCTTCTANTTGGAATGCTACTTGGATGACTCAAGTGTCAGCAGAATATTTCTTGTCTTTGAATACGTACCAAATGGGACACTAAGGAACTGGGTATCTGGTAATCCAATGAATATGACGAGCTTTATTTGCATCAGTTACTCTCTAAAGATGGTCAGCTCAGAAGGGACATCACTTGCCCTCTGAGAATGATTGCATCTACTTTTCAAATGTCTTCTGCAGAAAACCCGCTTTGTTTAAACGTGTGTGCACAATCATCTATTAGTGTTCATCGTCTATTCTACTGACCAAATGAGAATGCAAATGTGACTAGTTGTGGAGCATAAAATTTTTTTTTTTTTCCAATTTTTGTGAGAGTTAACCTTCTCCAATCAGATGTTGATCATGGAACTTCAACTACCCTTCATGTGTAGTGTGTCATTGAAACACAAAAGCATGGCTTTATTTCCTCCATTTTGATTTTATAGATTGCTTTACGTGGTTTTGTAGTTATTGTTTTTCAGTTTCTTACAATCTTATTTAACAGTGGGACATGATAGACGAACACTAACTTGGACGCAGCGCATAGCAGCTGCCATAGGGGTTGCAAAGGGTATCCAATTCCTTCATACAGGAATTGTGCCAGGTGTCTTTTCAAATAACTTAAAAATAACAGAGGTTTTATTGGACCAGAACCTTGTTGCAAAACTCAGCAGTTACAACCTGCCTTTGTTAGCAGAGGATATGGGAAAGGTATGAAGAAAAGAATTCATCTACTCATAATTCTGGAAGGAAATACCTTGAGTTGATATTTGGAACTGCTTCATATGGCAGGTTGGTATTCAACGTTCTCCTGGAGCCAAGGAGCTTAGTAATGCAAGGTTTGTTATAAAATTTGCTAGTTCAATGCATATGCTATGATTTCAATTCAAAATTATTACAGAAAGCTCTTGATATACAGAGGTTAGTGGTATCTCATAGACAATAAATGCTCAGAATGACACGACACATGCAAGGTTTGATGTACTTAATTCCATGTCCAGAACATATGCATATTTCGTTCTTTTGTCTTACCCAAACAATTTCCATCCACTTGAAAAAAGGGAAAATCATATTGCTCTATCAATCTACCTTTTAGTTGTCCTCTCTAATATAAGGGTCATTGATATGAAGGTAAAATTTTATATTGTTCCAACTAGTCAACAGGTATGCTGAATTTTGTGACTTCTCAACCTAAATCTGCGTCACAGGATCAAACATCAGGACAAGTTTGACATCTACGATTTTGGGGTGATATTACTTGAAATCATTGTGGGAAGGCCATTCAATTCCATGAATGAAGCAGGGGCTGTGAAAAAACAAGTATGGATGGCTCTTTCCTTGCCAACTTTTCTTTTTCTTTGTATTATTTCCCCTCTTTCTTTCTTTGGAAAAAGTTTACAATGATGTATTCTATTGCAATCATTATCCTCAAGGTCTCCTCCTATTTGTAAATACATAGCAGAATCATTGATTAATCATTGATTTTTGTCTCCATAGCATCCTGGAAAGGTTAGATATTCATCTAGTTCAATTGTTCTTGTGGTTTGAAGCATGAACATATGCTTTCTTTTATTCTGGGAGATCCTTCAAAATAACTAGCTTTTTATTTCTGTTTGCTGTCTCTGTAATTTTTTCCCTTTATACCACTTAGTGGGCATTATATATGCATTCTGAAGTAGGGAACTTAGAATTTGGTGTTCGCTGGCCGTTGGTTGGTAACCATTACAAGACTAAGTGTTAGCAATTAACAAGTATACACTGGAAAGAAAGGCTTTTGTTTTTGGGTGAGTGGCTTTCTGTAAATTACAATAATATAACCACGCAAACCGATTGATAATTAGATAGCCAATCAACATAGAGAAGATGTTTTATTTTTAGCAAATCAAAATTTCCATAGTAATTTTTATTACATAAACACCTGAACTCAAGGTGTATGTTATCATGTATGTTTTTCTCCTCCTGTGGCTGTATTTGTTAGTATGTAACTGCAAGCTGGGATCTGTTGATGCTACCTAAATTTTTATTTTGTTTTTACTGGTTATCACCATACAATTTAAGATTTTCTGTTTGGAGGATAAACTAGTGATGGCCTAAAATCGCAGGATTGCATCACAATAATAACTGTGGGCTGTATCTTTTGACACTGCAGTTACAAGCAAGCATAACAGCTGATTCTGCTGCTCGAAAGAGCTTTGTTGATCCAGCAGTTCTCAATGCATACTCGGATGAATCATTGAAGATAACAATGGAAATCTGCAGTAGGTGTTTGGTTAAGGATCCAGCAGATAGACCATCCATTGAGGATGTGCTGTGGAACTTACAGTTTGCTGCTCAGATTCAGGACGCATGGAGGGGAGACTCCCAAAGCAGTGACGGGTCACCAATCTCGCCTTTCCAGCCTCCACGCCTACAGCTCACAGTTCAACAGAATCAGCATTCAGGTTCTAATTCTCCTTTTTCAAGAACCAGTTCCAGATCTTGAATTTTTCCTTCTTCCCAAATCATTAGTCTTTCATTTCATTTGTAAATTTGTGGTTCTAGCAATGACATGTCTTAATGGCATATATTTTATTTGTCTATAAGCGTTGATCTATACACTTGGGTAGAGCATTGCGAAATTCTTCGTCCTACGACCTTTTGAATGAGATAGACTAGTAACCCCTTTCGAGTTTGACCATCACCATGGAAAGACAAGTCTCTTGTGAAATAACTATTAATTTCTTCTCCATTCCATTCAATTGAAACTTTCGTTTATCCAATAGCTGAAAACCGTTTATTACCTTCTCTTCTGCAGGTATATGAGGGTCTAAGACGAAGACAGAAACCACTTGTTAATCGATACAAAAAGCTATCGAACCCAAGTATTGAATTCTCTTGATGCAAACGAGACCATGGAACTATTGGCCTGAAATGTATACCCTACTCTTTTTTCTATTTGTTTTTCTCATTTCTTATATTAGAAAGCACCTTGCCAGGATGCTTGATTGGCAGCCATCTTTGTACTCTAAAGTGCAACTATGAAGGGATTGCAAGACATATAATTGCCGCTGCTTGCACGTTGCTTTACTTTTCTGCACCAAGTCTAAACGAAATTCCGGAAGCCACTTATTACGACATACTTTACCAAAAAAAAAAATGTAGTCTGGTTTAGATTATTAATGAATATTTATGTTGATTCAGATCAATTAATTTGTAGAATGGAGATTCATACAAATTAATAATGTGCAAAGAACCATATTTGAACTGGTAACAAGAGGATTTTCAGTCTTCTGCTTTACTAGTTTAGCTATCTCGTATGCAATATCCTCATTTTATTTCGATGACTTGGGTTTATGTCAATTGAAAAATATGAAAGCATATTACAATATGAATTTCTTAGATCTTCAATATGAATAATCATATCAACCATGAATCAATCAAATGGGAATTCTTTGTTCAAAGATGTCCATTTGGATCTGTATTATGTATATCACAAGACATTTGTGATAAAAGAAAACCATTTTTGCTCATATCCGTTTGTAATAGAATAGAGTGCATGAGAAAAATAACAAATTTTGGCCGCTAACGAAAAGGGATAGGATAAATAGTAAGGGTCAACTGAATTATTTGAGGATAGAGGGACTTGAACACTCACGATTTTTAAAGTCTGGCCAATTTTCATCTTGCAAAAAATTTAATTGCTTTTCGTATTGACATGTAGAATAAAACTTTATCTTTATTCCTGTCCAATTAATTATGCCTCATTAAAACCAACCCACCACTCCCTTAAAGAGAGAGAGACTAGTTGGGTTCGGGACTTCAGGTTAAGTTCGGTTGGGCTGCTCAAGTTTCTACTTTATGGATGGGATTTGGGGGGTAGGGGTTACACTTGGGGTGTGTGGAACTCCAGCATGCATGTTTAGTATATAAAAAAAAATTAAAGTACACATATTTACGGAATTGCTCCTTTTTCAAGCATCTCGCATGGAGGAAGTAGGAGGTGGCACTTGGTGGTGAAGGATGGCATGCAAAGCCATCATCACAACATTAGGTGTCCATTGGGGTTGTGTAAATCATCTGGAGGGGATGGGAACAAGCAAAAACAAAGAGAGAGAGAGAGAGAGAGAGGAAAGAGAGGTTGAAGAAGAAGATGATTTGGACTTTTGGGGTTTTGATTTAGGGTATCTCAAGCTCCAAAATCAAATTGTTAATGCTCTATTTTTCATAAGGAGTTCACTGGTGTAGTTGGATTTAAGGTTCATGTAGTGTAGAGGTACGAATTTGAGTTTTAAGTTTAAAGTGGGCTTTAATTTTTGAAAAGGGTCTCATAGAAAACGAGTATTTCTTCTTCAATTGAGTCTTGTGTTGTATTTTTGGGTTGTTTTAAAGTTGTTTGGGAGTGGTTTTAAGGGTTGTTGTGGTGTGTGGTGGTGGGATGAAGAAACCCTCATGGGTTTGAATCCTAAAAATTTGATTAAGCTTTGAAAGGGGGCTTGTTTTCTAGATAATTTGGGGTCAAGTAATCCCATTTTTGCCTCATAATTGGATTTAGAGGTCATTTGAAGGGTGAAATGGGCAGTTGTAGGTCTGGCTATGCCTTAAAAATCTTATTTTTCTTGGACTTTGACCTAGTTTTTGGAGGGGTTTAAGCTTAATTCAAAGCTTGAAACCTATGGGTTTTCATAGAGGGGTGTTAGTTGAGTTAGCAGGCTTTGAAAACATAGCAAAATTTGTACTGTGGAGTGAGAAATAGAGGTGATAAGTGACTTGATCCGAAAATGAGTATACCCAAGTGTAAGCAATCAAGTTGTAGTAATAATCTGATTAAGTCTGGAGTCAGATCAACAGGAAACTATTATTTGTGTTTCGAAGTAAGCAGTGACAGAAACCATGTGATTGTAACCTTTGAGATTTATAGTGATGATGTTTAGAGATTTTTCTGGGCGAAATATATAATTCTTTCCAATAAGATTTTCTAGACAAAATATAAGATAAATTCAAATGTAAAAAGTCACTCTTTAGTTCAAGGATCTGGACATATAATTAATCATCCGGTTTTTTATACTTATGTTTGGTAAGTCAAGTAACCCCTGTGTCAACAGCAAGTTAATCTGAAGATAAATGTGGGATTGTGAGAATTAAGAACATGGTTTTGATTCCTTTCTAGAACTTTACAAGAATTGTCTATGATGAGACTCAACCCGTCTACAAACAAGCAAGTGTTTCTACAAGGCATCCAGTCATGGCATTAATATTTCATTCTTTAAATGAAGCACGATAATGGTGAAGATTGAAGGGTAGTCATGAAGATCTAGTGGGGGTACTTGCCTTGAATCAATGAGTCTTTCTATACAAGAGTTATCTGTGTTATAGAAAGTACTCACGGTTATACAAAGTAACTTAGTTTTGCTAGATGCAGTTAATCATTCAGTAAACAAGTGAAATATAAAACATTAAGCACAATCGAAATGCACAGATATAACTTCCAGATGATTTATACATGTCCATTACCTCTTACTAAAAGGTAAATGAGAAACTACTCACTCTTCATGGCTTTGGTAAAGTTAGAAAAGTGAGTGATGCTCATCCCTCTAAGTAAAGGAGCTACAAGATAAAACACACTGCACAAGGTGCCGATCTTCGATGAAGAATAAGTGAATCACGTTCCACCATTCACGGCTTTGGTAAAGCTCTAGAAAAGTAGAAGAGTTTCACTCTTCTAAGGGAAGAAAGAAGCTCAAGGAATGGAAGTGAATGAAACTAATACTGAAAGTAGAAGAAAGCTAGTCACTTTTGGATTGTTTCCTCCTCAACCAAAAGATGATCTATCCTCCTCTATGCAAGTAAATATAAACCTAAGTCTAAGACTAATTCTACAACTTTTCTACATGAAATTGTTGCTCAAATGTAAGCCCAATCTCCTGCTTTGAAGCTCCCACAATGGGAATATTCAAAGGCAAGGAGGAGGGGAACAAGAGAGTGTGTAAAAATAGTGTAAGGCCTCCAAAGTCCATTGAAAGTCATTCACTCTGCAGCCTGTCTGATGACAACATTCGTATATTGTCTGGTGTTCGAACGTTGTTCACTGTCTTTGCTTGATGGTTTTCAAATGCCAGATGTAGTTTGAACCTCCTACTCAAGTGGCCTTTGTTCTTCTAGGGGGGCTACTTCCATACGCAATGAACCACTTGACATTGCACTCAGCAGCTTGGTCCTCAATAATTTAGGAGAACGTTTGAACGTATATTGGTGTTCGAATGTGGTACTCAAGTATTTCTGTGTTTTCCTTCTTTGCTGCAACACGTCATGCATCAGCACTTCAACAGTCTGATCCTAAATTATTCAAGAGAACATTCAAACGTGTATTGGCATTCGAACGTTCTCTTGAATTGGTCCAAACTTCTCCAATTTTGCTGCAGAATATGTTGGTGTTGCATGAAAGTTTGTATTCATTGCCCTTGGACCTTTTGTACACTTTATGTCTTGAAATGTCATCATTTAAACTCTATCAAAGTATAATTAGTCTTAAAAAGTCATAGTAATATGCTAATTTTAACTACTAATCACACCCCCCAACCTAAATATTGCTAGTCTCTAGTAATACAACAACAATTGAATTCAAATTTATTTAAAGTGTCATTTTCGTAGGTCATCCAATTGCATTTAGCATATGCAACAAGCCATTCAACCACCAGGTTTACCCTAGCGGACGAGTGTTGTCTCATGAGGGTTTTCAGTGAAGCTACCCCCAAACTTCAATTTAAACAGATGTGTATATAAGATTTTTGGTTAAAGTGAGTTAGCATTATGGTCGTTGGGACACCCAACCTTCAATCTCGACTCATATCCCACATATGTCTCTTTCATTGGTATTTATTCTATACAAAAATTAGCATTCATCGTATTGGTATTTAGAATTTCCTATGTAGTAGGGATGATCATTCTAGCAACGAGAATTGTTATATAACAAATATTCTACTTTACAACCTTCCATGGATAGCTTTGATTTCACAAACCTCTCTTAGAATGCTCTCTGCAAACATTCCCCCCGATTATAGTGACTTGTCTCTCAAAGGGCATGTGATCAAACGAGGGTCAATTGAAAAATCATATGCACAATTAGTATGGGAGTGAAGTTTTAAGGAAACAGACAAATTTTGTTTGGCATAATCTCATGGAAGAATATTGATGCAAATAAGGAAATACTATTTAACATTCCCCAAATTTTGGTTGACGATCTACACATGCATCAGACTTGAGATCAATTAGGACTTTTAATAGGTTGTAATGTGGCAAGAGGTCAGTGGCTAACAAAACGACGTCAATGGTATTCAAAATCTATCATTTCATTAGGTAGTGTAACATACCTCTTTCTAGCTTTTCGACATTTTTCCTAGAAATGGTATTTCTTTCTTTCATTTTTCTCATTTTTCATTTTCTTGGCAATTTCCTATCTTTCCGTTTCTTTTCTTTTTCAATTGTTTCCGGCAACTATTCTTTCATTGAACAGTAGCCACTCTCGTCTTTTCCCTTTCTCTTGTTTTTCTGTATCATACTAATATATAAATAGGGTGTAAGAAAATTAGATAGTAAAGGTATGTCAAGTATATTTTCTTGTGGCTCAGTCATCATATGGGTTATATGAAAAAGAATTCACACGCGTAAAGGCTCAATCAAAGCTAACTAGGGATATGATTTTGTAACAGAAATGGCTAAGGCTTAAAATTAAGTCAAAGATGACCTAAGATCATTTCTCAAGTATGTGTCGTATGAACAGATTCCTGGGGGGGGGATATGTCAATATATTGCTTTAGTTGCGTCAATCAAAGCAAGTTTTAATGAGATTATTCAAGGATAGATAGTGAAAAAAAACCAACCTTGAGTAAATTTTGATATCCTCTCAAAAGCATCGCAAGGTTCGAAACTTACCATGGTATTTTTCGTTATCGCCTCTGGTTATGTCAGGTTTTTTTTCTTCATGGAATGTTGGTTATATATTGATTCCATTTTCGAGTTTGGGTCATCTTGTACCATCAGAATAAAAAATACCAATAGAAATTTGACATTTTAAGCATAGAGAAAATACCATTTTTTTCAAAAATATGTGGTTTAAAGTCTAGATTATTAGGTGAGGTGTCAAACTGGTCATGTGATCAATCATTTTAACAAACAGTCTCAATATTCACATTTGTTCCATCATTCATTGACACATAACAATGTAATGCTAATTATACACATGCATCCAAAAAGATAAAAGTGATAAAACTGAACCATTCATTTCTTAAAATATCATTATTTGACTTAACAAAGATTCAAATTA